TCCAATTGACAAAACTTATAGCTTTAAAAGCTTTAATAATTTACCCTTATTAGTATTGTTATTTGAAAATTGATTTTTTTCTCCCAATTTCAATTTGTAATCCTTAATTTCTTAAAAAAATTCTTCTACATCTAAATATAGAACTCTATTTTTTTTATTATTAGATGAAGCTTTTTAACCATACTTATTCTAATATTTCAACAGAGGTTTATAACATTTGAAAATATGTTGTATTTTTAGATTGCTTTTTCCTTACAATAAAAATAGTAATGAATCGATGATCTGTGAAATTGCATATCATTTCATCTGCTTCTATTTGATAATTCACTAATATTATGCATACACAAAGAAGAAATAACCCTTAAATGTATTGAATAGCCATCTTTTCGATGTAGATTAAACCTAATTTAATGATGAGAGTATGCAGTGTTAAATTAGGAACAATACTCAAGTATTATAAATTATCTTAATTAGTGTTGAGATATATCTTTTCATAATTTCATCATGGCTTAATAAGGCTTATGTATGATGTTTTCAGAATCATTTTTCATATTCATATGCAAGAGGCTTTTTGAAAAAGCTTTCATATGAAACAAAAAAGCATATGTTCATTTGAATAAATTCACATTACTATGTTTTGGGTCATTTGCAGGTTTAATGAAATTTAATTTAAGATAAATTAAAAAAAAAAGTTTAATTTACCAACCAAAACATTAAAATATTAGTTAAATTTACTCATTTATGATTCCAAACATCCGAAGAGTTTAAAGATGCTTGATTTATAAAATATCAATTCTCCTTCACGTTTTACAATAAAACTAACATTTCTAAAAATGATTTAGATCATTGGGATTGTAGTTGAAATAATGATTTTGCTAATTTACTTTGATCTGCGATGTTTACAATTTATATTATAAGAATTCCATTAAAATAAGCCATATAATAAAAAAGCGGCTTTATGATTAAAGAAATAAAACTCAACTATCAAATGGTTTCTTATTATAACAATATAAATAGAACTCCTTATATAGAAGACCTTGATCAATGCTGAAATTGGTTACCAGGAGTTTCTAATTCGGCTTCACAAATACAACTTTTTGATCTAGAACTTCAGTAGTTTCAAATCTAATTTTAATTTCAACTAGNAAAGTCCTCAGTCTGCTTACTAATATCCTACATCTTTTCATGAATGAATCTCTTTTAATTTCTAAGTGTTTTTTTGCCTATGTTGTTCTTCCCTAATTTTAATATAATTGGATAGTCTAATTTAGTTTAAATTATTTAAACCTTAGAATGATGTTCAAATAAAGGAAGATTTGTTAATAGCATGAATAACTTAAACTGCAATTTATTTGATTGTTTGTAAATTTCCACTTGACAAACGTTATAGCTTAAACGCTTTAATAATTTACCCTTATTAGTATTGTTATTTGAAAATTGATTTTTTTCTCCCAATTTCAATTTGTAATCCTTAATTTCTTAAAAAAATTCTTCTACATCTAAATATAGAACTCTATTTTTTTTATTATTAGATGAAGCTTTTTAACCATACTTATTCTAATATTTCAACAGAGGTTTATAACATTTGAAAATATGTTGTATTTTTAGATTGCTTTTTCCTTACAATAAAAATAGTAATGAATCGATGATCTGTGAAATTGCATATCATTTCATCTGCTTCTATTTGATAATTCACTAATATTATGCATACACAAAGAAGAAATAACCCTTAAATGTATTGAATAGCCATCTTTTCGATGTAGATTAAACCTAATTTAATGATGAGAGTATGCAGTGTTAAATTAGGAACAATACTCAAGTATTATAAATTATCTTAATTAGTGTTGAGATATATCTTTTCATAATTTCATCATGGCTTAATAAGGCTTATGTATGATGTTTTCAGAATCATTTTTCATATTCATATGCAAGAGGCTTTTTGAAAAAGCTTTCATATGAAACAAAAAAGCATATGTTCATTTGAATAAATTCACATTACTATGTTTTGGGTCATTTGCAGGTTTAATGAAATTTAATTTAAGATAAATTAAAAAAAAAAGTTTAATTTACCAACCAAAACATTAAAATATTAGTTAAATTTACTCATTTATGATTCCAAACATCCGAAGAGTTTAAAGATGCTTGATTTATAAAATATCAATTCTCCTTCACGTTTTACAATAAAACTAACATTTCTAAAAATGATTTAGATCATTGGGATTGTAGTTGAAATAATGATTTTGCTAATTTACTTTGATCTGCGATGTTTACAATTTATATTATAAGAATTCCATTAAAATAAGCCATATAATAAAAAAGCGGCTTTATGATTAAAGAAATAAAACTCAACTATCAAATGGTTTCTTATTATAACAATATAAATAGAACTCCTTATATAGAAGACCTTGATCAATGCTGAAATTGGTTACCAGGAGTTTCTAATTCGGCTTCACAAATACAACTTTTTGATCTAGAACTTCAGTAGTTTCAAATCTAATTTTAATTTCAACTAGAAGAAGACACTAGACTTAAGATATTATTGATTATAATCATAGTTGCTTTCATCTTATATGATAAAAACTTAGAATGAATTTAAAACTAGATAAGAATAATCGATCAATCTGGTCACAATATAAGCCCCATTCTATTTATATTCTAAAGTTATTAGCTAAAGAAAAATAGCAACTTCTTTTTAAGGATAATATCGAGTAATTAGTCTCGTATTGTAATTTACATTAAGAACTGCTTTGTTTTAAAGTTAAAATAATGGAATATGTTAATATAATTTTGAAAACAAAAATGTAATATGGATATGAAGTTTAATAAATAAGAATATTATTGCTATTTGAATTTTGAGTGGATTAATTATCAATAACTTCCTGAGTTTAATTTGAGGTTTAATAAAATTAAATTAAAACTTCTAAAGTATAATGAGAGTTTGCATCTTAAACCATAAAGAAATTAAATATAAGATTCTATCGCTTGCAACTTTTAGAGAGGCATAAATCTTTAGATAATCAATTTGCTCTTTTACAAAGCATTAAATTCAAGACCTTTTTGTATCATTTTTTAAAGAAATATATAATAAAAAATAAAGTTTTAATAACTAAATATGTTAATTTATCACTCTCGATTGTCAACTTCCGATTCTATGCACAAATTAATTGAGAAGGAATCAAGTTATATATATATAATATTATGAAGAAAGAAAAATAACTCAACCAAATAACAGCAGTGTACTAATAGTTAATTAAGGTTACACAATAAATCAAAAGAAGAGAGATAGAAAAATTTAGCAGGTTATACTAAAAGTAAATTATGATTTATAAATAGATCATGAATATGGACTAATGAAGATTGTTACTAATTGATGCCTGATTTATTTATAAGGAAAAAAAGAACTCTCAATTTTTGGATTTGATATCTAAGGATGAATCTTCAAATTTTAATGGTGGTCAAATACATTCTGAGTAGCATGAATGCTATAAAATTGAAATCATAAATAGAAATTTACATTCTTTTTGTCTCAGTGTCTTTCATAAAGCTAAAAGAAGTAGAATTAATGAATTATTAGAAGATAATATTTAGGTAATTATTAGTTTAAAATAGTCAATTTAGATAAGAATCTTTAATGTTTATTAATTTTGTCATTTAGATAGTTAAAAATATCTTAAAATCCTTCAAATCTATTCACTCCCACAATTAGGGAATACTTCATTTTAAATATTTCATACAAATCCTAAAATGGAATATTTTTATCATAAATCAATTCAAGTTTAATACCCCTAACTAAATCAAAAATGAAAACCGAAGTTTCTCTTCATAAATTCTTGAAAACCCAAAAAATGGTTGAATCTTTGTTTTCAAATATATTACCTAAAGTTCCTTCTTTTTTTTATTCGACAAATGCTTTTTCCACTAAATACATTTTCTACAGTGAATTCTATTCTATTATTTTCAATCATTCTAACACAAAGAATGCTTAAAAAAATAGTTATCAAATCATTCTTGCTTATTTAAAGAAACTATTTTCTATATAGCTAATTTTTGTTTGCTTAAAAATAAAATATAATAATATTATTGAAAAGTTATTAAATAAAATTCTTTAAACAAGTTAATGCAATTTGAGACCGATTGAAAACAACGACAAGTAGTAAAGATCTTCTCTGGTATTTAATACTTGATTATTTTCCACTTCTGATCAATAATGAAATTATTATTATTTTAATCAATTGAGGCTAGAAAATTAGTTTTAAAAAATCTCTCGACTTTTCGGTTTCAATTTCAAAATAAAAATGATTAAGTATTTTGAATCATATGTAAATTTTACATTCTTCATAGCTACATTTTTTAATATAGCTAAAGTTCTATTTTATTAAATGTCAAATATTCTTAATTATGATCTCTGATAAATTTAACATTCTTCTGAGACTTTTGATTTTTCATAAATGACCAAAAATCTCAAATTTAGTGATATCTTTAAATTAACAATTTAAGATTTCTCTTTGCGCATAATCCTTTATCCTTCATTTAAATTTAATTTTCTTCTTCAAATAGTTTTTATTCTTGAATCAAAACTAACTAGCGTAATTAATTATTTTGCATTTTTGATTATTAAATTATTTCAACAGTAATAAATAGAAAGACCTTAAGTTTGTTCAGCCTATACTGAGAAAATTTTCAGATAATTTTCTTGTTTGAACCCTGAGTTATAAAGATATTTTTCTTTATTCAGGTAAGAGTTGAAAAATCTCGAATCCCTTTCTCTAAATTTTGATTTCTATTTAGATTTGTAAATTCTAAGTTATAAGGCAAGTCTTCAGGGCTTTTACCCAGCTTTCTTAAGGTTTATAGAACCTGCTACATCTTCTGCTTTCAAATTGTTCAGACCTCGAAATGAATCACTCAACACCCTCCCCACAAAGGTATGCTTTGATGAGTTTGATAATTGTGGGATCAGAATCCACTCGTTTGAAATTTATCTTCCTCCCAGATTCAATTCAATTAATTCTCAATATGTCAATATAATCATTCAGTTCCCCCTCCATCTATTCCAAATAACTTTGAAATGAAGGTTGTGCGAAAGAACGTAACATTTCAAGATACACATCTGACATCATAGGATTAACATGTAAAATAGTTATTTTTCAAATTTCTTTTCCTATAATAAATAATTTTCATATTAAAATAAAATAATATATAGAATGATAAAAAATTTAAAATAACAATTTTAAGTCGATAAGTATTAAATTTTTTCCAATTTATTGTTATAATATACCCAGCAAATAAAATCCTTAAAGATTTATCAGCTTATTGATTTAATAAATGTGCTTTCTTATTGTATTCATAATTTCATGTTCTTTGGATTGATTTCAGATAAAATTTAAAATAATTTTAACTGATAATTTGTTTAATATTTTATTTGTATTTATTTTAAGAAAATTTCTAAATAAGCGAAATCAATATGAGCTAAGCTGCAATGGATGCTGTAATAATAGATAATTGAAATTTTTTAATTCATACAGGATCATTTTACAATTTAACTAATTTAAAAATAAATTTTTTACTCGTCCTTTTTAGATTTGCTTCAGCACATTCAGTACACAAAATCGGCAGGAGAAGGTGAAAACTAAAAAATGTTATTTATTTTAAAAACATCCAGCAAATACCAATAACTAATAGCTGCCCTACAAACAAATCTTACAATTGATATTTAAATTCTTACAAGTTTACACATATATTTATTTAAAAAATGATAAATACAGCCAAGACTTTTATAGTTTAATATGTTTACCCCCCAATCATCATTAATTCTATAAATTAAAACTCCTAAGATTCTGAAATAAAGCATTGTGTGATTCAAATGAATCCAAATAAAATACAAATGCTGGCAGATTTCTATTATTTTACATTACATTATCCTAAACTTTTCCCAGATTCCAATTTTTATGAGTATTGGGATTAGGATCACAGAAATAAAAAGGAAAGTAAAAAAAACCGTTTATATATATGAAAATATATTCAAAATTGTTAATTTTTCTATTAACTTGAGACTAAATCTCCTAAACCAACTCTCTACTTTCACTTAAGTAAAAAATTCTGAAATAAACCAAACCTCCTAATAGTGAATATTTTCTTTATTATTTTCTTTTTTCGTATGTTAATAAGGCATCCTTCCCTAATTCTCTTAATCTAAACTAAGTAGTAGATTACATAAGTCTATTTTCTCACAATAGAGCTGCAAAGCAATTAATTGATTCTTTCTGGCCTCTCAAATTAACTTCATTTAAAAACAGTACTTTCAAAGGTATTACATTCGATTCTTATTTAATCTGAAACATTTGATTCTTGATTAAGAGATTGGATAGGTGAAGGAAGAGAAGGTTTTTTTTACTTAATGATTAAAAATCTAAATGAAATCTTTATATTTAGCCTTATGTTTAAGGCGTTTTCCTTTTATGATTAACTGCAAACTTGGATAATAAAAATAGTGATTTATATTGGTTAAATAAGAAACTAAACCAAAGATGAAAGTTTTCGAATTTCCAAAAATTCATATGAAGTTCTCCTTTAGAAAAAGGTAAGTAATTCACACTCTAAACAATATTGCTCACAAATGCCTTAGCCTTAACAGCTCCTAAAATCAGCAAAGTCAATAATATTTCTCAAAGAATTGCTTAATTTCAATTGCCGAAAAATCAATTTGCATATTTTAATTTTGAAAAGATTAAGTGTTTAAGCAAATTTATCTTAATTAGTTTATTTAATTTAATAATATCAATCGTTTAATTGTACAGTACCAATCTTTAGAAATAACTATTAAATCACTTTAACACCTTATTTATAATCAAAAACAAAATATTGAATTTGAAAATAAATCAACTCTCTTTAGAATATCCATTAAGATATCTAAAAGTAAAATAAGTTTACGCAAGTTTTATTTTTCTCATTTAATATGACAGGTTGATTCTATTATTATACCTTTGGAAAGGCAAATGAAAATCAGCTTTCTAAAATTTTGAACTCTAACATTTTGGTTTATTTTGCTAATCAATTAGTGTCAGTTTGTTTTTTGATTCACTTAAACTAATAACAAATGTCCAATCAAAATTGATGTGAGTTGAAAATACGATGATACACAATTTAGTCAATTTTGATATAATTTGAACAGTTGTTAGTGTTTAAATAAACTTAGTATTGAAATTATTCTATAGAATGAAAAATAATCGGGTCACATTTTATATGGTATTTATGCATAAAATAGTATATGACAAAAAGATTTACTGTTAAGATTTTGGGATTTATTGATAAACAAATTATAAATTTCAACTGTTTAAAATTAAGATACTAGTAATTTTGGTTAAAGCATTAATTGTTGCACGTAAGATTTTTGAACCCTAACTGAGCAGAGCAAGTTAATAAAAATTGTTTGATATGCTTATATCTATATTATATATATTGTAACAAAACATTCATAGTTAATTTTGAGAAAATCTGTACTGCTTGAGATGCATTTATATTCGAAATTATGTATGACTGACTAACTTCATTAACATAGTAAAAATCTTTACATGTTGATCTCAAAATTTGGAGAATTAATAAGTTATTCTCATAATTTTGTATCCGAGTTTATTGTCATAAAAATTGGAGGAAGATTGAAATCATCAAAGAAAGGTATGTATTAGCCTAATTATATATATAAATTATGACATCCAAAGTTAGTTGGCTCAATAGCGTATAACTTTCTAGGTATTCAACTTTATTTTTGGATTATTCCTAAGCTTGTAAATGTAATCAATTTAACTGTTAGAGCATATTTTATTCATTAAATATAAATATATCAGAAAAAAATTCAGGATGATAATTAAAATAATCTTGACTCTTAATTAATTATGGTTAGACAGGAAAGAGTGTATGCATCAATAAGAATAAGTCAAATTCTTATTATCGACATGTTGTTATAATGTAAAATATTTATAGCTATTTATGTTTGGATTAATTATCGAATCACTTCATTTAGTAGTTTTTCCATTCAAAGCAATATAAAAGGGCACAATAAACTTCAAGGTTTAACTCAAACTTTAACAAATACTATAGTTAATGTTCTTTGAAAACTATTACATTATAAGCAAAGATAATGATACTTTTTAATTACATCCAAGTTTCCTTACTAAACCATAAAGTTTAAGTGGATCCTTTTAATGATTGATGATAAGAATTCAGAATTGAGAAAAGGATATTCTCTTACAATCCAAAATTTTTATAAGCACCTGAGCTAATATTATTATAAACTTTTTCATGGAATGTGCATTCTGCTCTGAACTGTAAAATTGTTCCAAACTACGATGTTGAAACAATTCTTAACCGAAATCCTCTACATTCATGCAGCCAATGTTGTTATGGTATATTCCTAAACACATCAAGCAAATCTATGTTTATTTTTAGGAATCTTATATATAAGGACAAGTCCTACAATTAGTACATAAAGAAATGGTAGCTTTATTTCAATCTGCATTAAAAAAACGCATGCTAACTCTCATTAAGATACTATCTGAATGCAATGATTACCATCAAGTCAGACTGAGTTATGTAAATAAATATTAGAAATAGGAAGACAGTATCACAAGACGTATAACTTATGTATTATAATATACTGATGAACAGGCCCCTCCAATCTAGCACTTAGCGGGTATTGTTTTAATGGTTGAGTAACGAATAATCCATTGTAAAATAATGTTTTTTAGGTAAATATAGAGTTCATCTGCAAATATATAAAATATACATGATCCAGCTACTTCTATTAATAAATTTGGAGTTGTGTAAAATTTACAATTATAAGTTCAGTGAATAGCCTCAAAAAAGACATACTGTCTCTAACCTACATCAAATTAGACATGTGCTACAAAGACTTTTAGATAGTTTAAATCGATATTCAAACGTAGAGTCTCAGAAATAGATCGGAAAAGTAATATCAGTTTTTGAATAGCTAGTAAAGTTATCAACGGGCCAAAGGCTAACATCTCAAAGAAGTTTAAAAAGAGTTATATTTGTAACGTTTATTATGGCTAGTTTACTTTTGATCGTAATATCGGGATGGCAGATAACAATTATTAGAACTATATAAGGTGAACATGAAACATATAAAAAGAAAATTATGACAAATTCTAACTCATGTCCTTACTATTTTTTCAAGCAATAAAATCTTGAGAACATTACGGCCTTCTCAAAATTACCCTTTAATAGATCAATATTCAAGTTAGATATAGCAAGACAAATAAAAATCAACCCATTAAGCTTGACTTTGAAAGTAAAAACGTTATTAAAAGCGATATTCAAATCTAAAAGTATAATATTCTTCAATAAATACATATATATAACATTTAACTCTCAAATTTAATAATGGAAAAGAATTTCTAAAGTTCTCATTAAGATTTTTTCAAAGTGATATTTTATTATTTTTTCTGATTTTGATAGAAATGTAAAATCTGAGATTCCACAATTTGAATCTTTCAAATCTTAATACAAAATTGGCTTATAACTGTGCGCTTGGTATTTTAATTTAAAAAAAGCATACTAATAATCAATTTCAAATTCTCTGCACGGAATCTACAATTTGAGACTTTTTTCTTTTCAAACATTGAACCTAAAAAGAAAATTTCCATTTGTTTGTTACTCAGTTCAGAGATTTCAGGTCCAATCTATGAGTGGAGATAAGCCCTTATCTTAAATGCATCAATAAATTTGAGTCGTAATCACTAATAAATCATCCTCACAATAAGTAGGATATACTTTTTGAGATATAACATCTAAGAAGTACAATCAAGTGGTTTCTGAAAAATATGCTCTATTTAACCACTCATAACAAATTGTTGCGTTCCTAATTCCTATTGGAGTGGAATACTAGTATACATCATATCATTCTCAACATTAATTTTGATAGTAAAGAAATTATTAATATGGAGGAAGATTGAAATACAAAGCAGCAATATCAACTACAAAGAATATCGCTAAAACATTTCATCTTTAAGTCAGATAAATATCAAAATTGCAAGCTAAAATGCACAAGTATCACAAGGCATTAAATATCCAAGGATATAACTCTAATTGCACCAATATTTATCAAATACATTTAAAGCAATTTAATATTCATTTTTTTTTAAATGCATGTAATCAAAATTCTATAAACTAGTCTTGCTTAAGACACATAGATGCTCTTAAAGCATCAACGAGAGTAACTTTAGCAATATATAATTCCTATTTGCTGCGAATAACGCAAGAGAAGGAAAAAACATAGTATGCATTATCTACATTAAAACAGAACCAATATCACAATTCTATGCTAAAAAGTAGTGACATTGGTTATGGAATCTTATGAAGTCGAAAATAATATACAGGCACCAGCATTTACTAAGGTTCCTTAGTAAATAACCAAAAATATTTAGAAACCTCGGCTGATACAGCCGCTTTGTATTCACAAGTGTTTTATGGAGTTTTTCCTGGTAATGCATTTAATCAGTGATAGGGTCTTATCAAAGTTATATAAAATAAGATGTGAATCGCAGACATCATTCATCAATTACTTCAAACTCTCCATGAATTGTCCAAAAAGAAATGAGGATACCCACATTGTTTGCTGCTAAAGCATATTGTATGTTATTTTTAGTTTTGGCATTTTCAAATTGATCTTTCAAGTAACAGATTAATAATTAGTGATGATTGCCTTCTTTCGTTAAGACACAATACTTATTCACAAAGAGACTTTCTTCTTTCAGTTTTAGTAGTGCCTGAATTAGTGTATACCTCTTTAATAGCTCATAGTTTTAATCCAATTTTCTTGGTGAGTATATGAAACCGTCTTAATTAATATCATAGATAGCTACAGAAAATGTTTATAAAGACTAATATTTTGTTCAGCAATCTAATTTTATTACAAATCTAATTGCATGGTTAGCATGAATTGGAATTCACCATATAGAAACCTCTTAGACATTCTAAATAAGTGCCACCATTTATTGTATCAAGAATAAACGCTTAGTGTACTACTACAATTTCGAAGCAAACTTTACAATCCAAGTTGAAAACTATTTTTTTGATGCAGATTTTAATGTGTTAAGTAACGTTAATAATAACGCTCATCCTCTTATTTTACTAGCAGATCTAGTAATGTTTGTTTGAGCACACAATTTTACACAGATAATTCTTAAGGTTTTTGAGATAGAGAAATCATATATAATTAATATTTAGAGTAATTGTGTAATTTTTATTCCTACCTGAGTATAATATGTAGATTACATACCGCTCTTTCGAGGTATGTATGAGCTGTACGAAACACGTAAGACTATTGAAACATTATTGACATTGTTGAGTAAATTCCTTTATGACAGTATTTTACATACTATGCAAACTGTTTTTCTGTCAGATTTGGTATATCATTTGACACAATAAGCACATCTGCATGTTTATTAGAGGAACGTGATTAAAATAGACTTCATGAAGTATTAGAGGTACCAGAATATCTCAAGTCTATGTTTTCTAGCCATTTTAAAAAGCAGACTATGCTTTTTGTATAAATGAGTGAACAGATCATATTTAGGATCAGCACACCATTTCGCATGTTAATCAACAAACTCTTTTAGTCTAGCCATCAGCATATAATATATTTGTGATACACTCCCAGTACAGTTTTAGAAGAACTTTAATCATTACATATGGATCATGATGGGTAGCAATCTTAAATTCGTGCATTGTTTTGTGTCAACATTATATTTTCAAATACATTTAGTGTGGATTATCTTCCATATGCTGGATGTAATAATTAATTTGCGACCTCAGATGTTTGATTTCTACAAAGAAAACTAAAAGAAGCAGAAATATTGAAGTGCATTGATTTCAAGAACGTCAATAAAAAAACGAATTCAAGTATGAATCACTACCAATCGTTGCAAGCAATATATGATGCAGGCTTATGAGAATATTTAGTAGTAGTATCAAAGTAATAATGTATATAGATATTTTCTGTGAATCTTTAGGATAAAAGAACTAGTTATTATTGACGAAATCATAGCCATTTGAAGTATGAAATAACAGTTCAGGTAAGACCACTTATCAATATCTAGAAATATAGCCTGACTAGTATTCTTATAAAATTACATTGGATAATTTGAGCTAAACAATTACATTTTAAAATAAAGACTATCCCATCGCAGTTAATATATTAACAGCAAAAAACTATCATAATGAGCTTTGGCTTTATTTCTCCAAGTAACTCAAAGAAAGATGTAAGTTGGAAATGCATTATCTAAACATAGTAAAGACAACCAATTCATCGCAATGAAGTCATGAATAGTTATGATCATAGCAGCTAGTAGGTCATCTTTGTAAACCTCTAATGCTAGTCCTTCAAGTTCACTTTTACAAACACGCTAAATATTCTATGATAGCAGCATGCGACAAATTTTAATATTCTAAGCCTTATTTGTTAACTAAAAACTAGCTCTTTGTATATATATTTAAGTTAATAATATTCAATTTCCAAGGTTTGATATATACTTTTCTCTATCATCAATTATTTTAATACAATATATTATTATGCATTATCTATTCTTAAGAAAACAGAGTTATTAATGGAATTATTTTGGCATAGTTGGATTTATCCAATTCACTTCTGAATCAAAACTTAGGATATAAATTTAAAATTGAAAGGAATAGCTATTAAATATATTAGGAGTTATGATGATACTCTTGAATATAGAATTTAGGGCTCAAATTACTTCAAAATATTCAAATTCATATAATTTGATAGAATTGCAATTATTTCAATTATACCTTATTGCGTTATCACTTTTAATTTTTTCGATTCCATTTGGTTTAGAATTCTTATCTTTTTCCAATTAAATTACCCATAAGCAGTGAAGAAAGTCATTGTGTTTCAAACATTTGGACTTCCGGAATATCTATTCTCAAGGCTGCAATTAGTTCAGTTGACAAAAAAGAAATCTTTTCGAATTAGAATTGTCATGTTTAAGATATAAACTAGTTTTTTAAAATGATAGAGTTAATAAAAGGATTAAATTATGAATCAAAGGATTAAATTATGAATATTGTGAAATTCTGAGAAGTCTTACTTATCAAGTCTTTTTGCAACAATCTTTATTGTAAAGGCCTAATCAAGCATCAAAGGTTTATATCAAAAATTTAAATATTTTCCTTAAATGAAATAAGAGCCTGAAGTATTTTAAATAATTGATTACTTAATCTTTATAAGTCAAATCCTACTTAAGAAATTAAACCAGAAAATAGCATTTTGAATTTGAAGATGTGACTTGATTTATTTTATTGTTCCTAATATGCAAAGTAAATTTATTAAAACCTAAATAATGTCTTGTCTCGTCTGGCTGCAATAATCTCCTATATTAACTTCTTTTTAAAAACTTGAGAATCTACAAATAATATGGTAAAGTGATATATTAAATATAAAAGATTTGGAACATTAGGGAATAGTTTTTGTGTTGATTTCGCAATCGTAAAAGTGATTCTTTAGATATAATTACAAAATAGCTTATAAATTATCATAATATGGATTATATTAAATGATTACTTTTGTCCTCTACTTTATATGCTATTTTGCTAATATTAGAATTAATTAATTGATTAAATAAAATTTGAAATGGGAGAAAGTACGTATTAACATAAGATTTTCATTTTAGTTCTTAACTATTTATAAAATTAAAGGATTTTATTATGAATCATTGTCTGCAGAAGTAATTATTTATAAGATGAAGGCGAACTTCTTATTTAATCGCTTGAGTTTTAACCTGTCTAAAATTCATCCATAAATGAAAAGAAGTATACTAAAGAAAAATTTTATAAATTGTATTTTATGTTAAACCAATTTACTTATATCTAAATTCTCATGGTGAAGCTCTATTGGCATAATAAGCTTAAATTTTGATAACAGTTAATTCATTCACTGTGCCACCAGGCATATAAATTAATTTTATGCTGGATACCATTTGATCTGAAAAGTTAACTTTGACTATTCCTTACACTCTCTAACCTAAAAACACTACTTTTTCAATATTTTCTCTATTTTTGACAATTAGTTAAAAATAAAAGTTTCTATTGTCTAAATCGTAGAACCATACTATTATTTAATTTAACTCATAAGTTTATGCAAATAAAACTTCAATCAAAGTATATGTATCAATATGCTCTCTATCATGTTGAACAGCATAAATTGGATCTCGTAATGGACTAGAATATTGGACGATCCCAACAAAAACAATTTATCTTGCACTTGAAACTATTGCTCCATTAGAATCAGATGCTACATCCTTGTATTAACCTCGAAGTATTGATTTTATTTTTAATTCTTAATTACTCAAATAATTGCAATTTTGATCTGTAAACACTAATAAGAAGCAGTTCAAGAATAGTAGAATCCGACATAAAGTCATATATTTTTGTTGATATTTATAATTTAATATTATTATCAATATATAGAGGGAAACAAAGAAAAGACATTTGTTATTATTTATTTGATCTTTTTGATAAATTACAATAACTAATAATAAAAACCTTCATTTTTTCAGTCATAATTTTGTGGGCGGTCGATTTATAAGAATATTCATAATATAAAGATTACTTTTCCATTAAGTAGAACTATTTATTTTATTATTTTATTTTACTTTATTCATTATTAATAATAACGTTAGTGTGAGACTTTCCTTTATGAATAGTTTCGCTAATTAAACTTATTTTTGGTTTATAAGTTTAATTAGCGAAACTATATCAGAATTCTTAAATAAATCTAAGTTTTAGATTGATATTATAGATTAGAAGAATTCATTGAATAATGAAAACAATTACTTTGAATATATTTTTTTGCCAACTATAGTACTTTAGTCAGCAACCTGTTTTCTTTCTATTAATCCTTAAAGTTATGTATTTTTCAAAGGAACTAGAGTTAGCAACATGTATTTATACTTTCTGGCTCATAAATTACAGCTCTACTCCCTAAGTATTTGCGTATCAATCTGCACCCTTTGATATTGACATTGTTGACCACTTTGTTTGCTTCTTTAAAAAACTCATATACAATATTTATCTGAATTTATAATATTCAAAGAGGTATGCAGAGTTTGAGAGATTCTGCATGATTCTTTAAGAAGCGGCATTTTTAGGAATACTTAAGCCTCTTATATAAATGCTTAGGATAGGAAGAATCAAAATTAAGAAATGAATTTTGTTTTTAGGTGTTCAGGTAAAAAAATTACAGATAGATATACTTATTGGCTGATAATTTTTGGAATCTTATAATTTAAAATAGGAAACTATCTTCTTCCTTAATCATCAAAAAGTTGGTTTATAATCTATTTAATTGAGTTTAATTATTAGTACTAACCCATTTATCAAAAGACTTCCACTTAGTAAACAAACTCACATAAAATAAAAATTAAAAAACAGAAATCCCATATGGAACTAAGAATTGCATAAAATAAAGCAGAATTCGTTCAATAAGGAATATTATGATTACCAAATTAAAATGTCTAATCTAAAATCTAAGTAGTTTTATTAATTGGTTGTCTAGCTGAACATGCTGCCTTTAGGTAGTAAACTTAAATCTTCCTAAAGATTTGACCAAAAGAAAGTCTCATATTTATTAATAGATAGGATTGTGCTTAATTTTAGAATGCCATTGAAACTAATTTCTTTCATACCTTGATCTTCCCCCTATTTTCAACACATCTATGTTTTGGTACTACTTCAAGCTCATTTTTCTAAACTCCAAATTTAGACTCATAACGAACTCATGCTTTTGGAAAACTCTCGTGTACTTTTTTAATCAATATTTGTATATGTGGTCAGTTATTTTTTTTTAATCTTCAATAATAGAGTTCAACAAAATAAAATGTTGATCGTAATTGTTTATCTTAAGGCCTATTTCCTGTTGTATCAAATATCTCTCCTTTTTATTAGTTAGTAGTATCAAACATGGGTATACATTTAACCTTATTCAGAGTTCATAAATTGAGAATTAATTCAGAAAATAAAAATTTTTAATAAATATACATTAGAGCCTATTCCTAATAAACTTTAAAGGAATAAGCGTTTATGAGCAATTAAAAATCAAGCATTCTTTGACTCAAAACTAATTTTAATAAAACCTTTTAATTAGTTTATTACCCATATATATGTTGATGCTTACTAACAGACAATAGATTATTAATTCAACTAAAAACCATGGGATGTTTATAATAGAGATGAAGGATGTAATGAATCAGATTGTCAAATACATCTTTATTTATTGACACTTAATTTTATCAATTCATCCGTGCCCAACAATGCTATTAATTCCTATGAGATAAATATTATTAATTATATTGTTATGAATTTAACTTTAGCCTGAAAAAACACGTCTTGGATATATTACAGAATACTATGTGATTAAATATAATAGAGAGGATAAACAGTAATGACAACGAATAAAAAATGATGATAAGGGAGAGAAAGATTTCATCTTTCTTACTCCTAAGATTTGAATCCTGATAAAAACGTCAAACTCAGCTATCAAAACAGCTAACCCTGCCTCATTATGTGATTAAATAGTTTGTAGTAGAGCTCATCTTTCCTAACAATATTCCTAAACCTTTAGATACATAGAGGCTTAAGGTCATCTTAATTTTGTTGTCAAAATTATTCATTAATTTGGTACTTGATAAAACTTCTAGTAATCTCTGAGAAGCACAGCTAATTGAGATAATTTTTGAATGAATGACTGGAGGAAAATAAACCAAGAAGTAGATGATTTAATCATAATCGAAATTCTGCTAATAGGTGTTGTTCCTGGACTGTTGATAGGAACGACTTAAAAAATGTCTTGCTAATCAAAAAAAAAAGAATTAAGCAAAGAAAGTAGCAAAATCTTATTCGAGTCTAGTGAAATAACTGGGAAAAATAGATAAGATATACGATAATAATATTAGAATTTCATCGAATTTTTTGGATGTAGAAGCAAAAATTAAATAGTCTCAAATAATTCATATAAGAATATTATGCGCTTGCATGACATTACGGTTAGAGAAAGAGATCAATAGATGAGCTATAAGAAAGGAGAGACCATTTTACGAAAATAATTTGACAAGATCAGGTTTAAGAGTTTAAACCTATAAGTAAGTATTAGTCTACCAAGAAAAAACTCACTTATGCATTTTGACATTTTCGATTGCACAATGCTCACCCAAGGCTAATTTGAACATATTGACGACTAGCCATGTTGTTTCAAGCTTGTTGGAGAATTAGAAAGAACAGAAGGAAAAATTGATAAGTAAAGGAAATAAGCATTAAAGAAAATTAAATTAAGATAGAATAATTAAAATCAATATAGAGTAGCAATAATAGAGTATTTAAAACCTGATCAGAGAATTAAATTGTAGGAAAATTGAATGATAAAGATAAAACAATCTTGACTTCCAGAAAAGAGTTAAAATTGCAGCTTTAGTGTATCTCTAAGAGAAAACAGGAATAGGGATAAAGATAAAGATAAATTAGAATATAATTCACAAAGAATTCTATGAGAATTATCGAATGTCACAACAAAGAGCCTAATTTTAAGTCGTTATACGATTTTAGAAGTGAATATACTTCAATATGATATCACTTCAATTTTCAAGACAAGCTGCAAATCTTTTTCTCAGAATTCTCACATTAATCCATTTAGTATATTCATTTGGTTCTTTTTCTTGAGAAAGAACCAAAAATTTAGATCTTACAGTTTCTCTATCTAGCCAAATAAAGTATAAAAGCAAGTATTATTATCTTCTTATAATTATTATTTTTAACATTATCTAGAATGGCAACACCAGATATAAAAAGTAATTTACCTTTATTTGAAAATGCATCACCATGATTAGAATTTATAAAAATACCATTACCGCAGCACTCAATTGCTTCTTAACATTTATTTAATAGAATAATGCAGAATCTAATAAATATTTTCATTATTTGTATTTTTCTATTGAAATTTCTCAAATAAAAAACAAATCTAATATTTTTTCCTTTTCAGTAATTACTTGATTACTTTATTTTTGACTTAATAGTTAAATTCTCTTTTTTTTTAAATTTTCGTTCAAGTTATTTAATGTTATAATTTGTTTCTCCATTTATTTTAAATCTATTCAAAACAATTCTTCATTTGATTGATGGTTTTTCGTCTAGGTATGAGAGGGATTTTAAAATTATATGACTTAATTGATTAATTAATTCATTGTGATAAATCTAATACAATAATTTTCATTATCAGAATGTGCCTAAGTTAAGAATTAGTAACTAATTTCGGACAGTGTAAGTTGTGCTATAATCAGCACTTTTAAGTAACAGGATGCTATTTGAAATTTCTTTGCTTTGGCTATTTCTAGCTGGTACAATAAATTTCTATTGAGTGCGAACAGTTTTCAGTTAGTTCCACAAGTATCACATATACCTCTAGGAGACTTGATACAATTAGAAGATTATTGATGAAAACCATCAAAAAAATTAATGCAGTTAAGTGATGAATTACAATCCTTTTAAGGTTTGGCACAATGTTTGTGATGTTGCATCAACGCTATGGAGGTATTTTACCCATGTTGGGCCTTTAGGGAAGCAATAATTCTCTGAGAAGAACAATATCTACTTTTTTTGAACAAGTTAAACTGTGTTTCAAGCATTAGTCAACATCTGTGTGATATTATGCTTAAAATCGAGTATTTTTTGACCAAATATTTGCTCTAGGACTATGTGAATTTTAAGTTGTATCAAACATTTACACAAATAGCAGAAGGAAGCAGTATCTGTCTCAACAATTTATTTAAAAGTTGTAATAATCAAAGGACAAGGAGGTTGTTATTGTTCAAGAATACCAGCAATTACGTAGAAGTACATAAAGTAGAATTTAAGGTTCACAACAGATTTGAAATCAAATAGAATTATCTATTGTACTGGATTTGGTAAACAAAATCATGTATTAATATAAGATTCAACTCAAGAGTCTTGATAAGTAATAAAGTATAATCTAAATAATAATTAGAGATAACTACATGTATTTTAATAATAGTTGAATCTTCAGAATTTCAAGGCTTTCATCAAATATTAACTTAAGTTAGAATAATAGGGACAAAATTAAAAAAAAACTCTGTTTCAGCTTTGAAATTTAAAATAATTCTTTTATAATTAAATAGTTCCGAATTTTAGGGATATTCTAAATTGCTTAATTTTATCTAATGCTTCTTCAGCCTATTCAATTAATATAACTTATATGCAAAGCCTTATGACAAAAATAGATTGGATTATGGAGTGTGAACATATATTTAAACTGTTTTTGTAATAATACTCAGACTTTTAAGAGTATTAAACCAAATTAAATTAAAATATAATAAATTCAAAATTTTAATTAGTATTTCACTGCCTTCTTCATCGT